TCAGGAATTAAGTAAAAATAACCACATAGTTTTAGGGGCAAAAGATTAGGAATTTTCTTTTTTATATTTATTCAGGTAATAAACCAGAATAAAACCTCAAAACACTGTTATGAAAATTAAGTTGGTTATCCTTTGGTTATCCTTTGATTATTGTACACATCTTAAGGTATTTCTTTGTTAGTTTCACTTTCTTCTAGAAAATTGCCTCACGAACACACTGAAATCTGAAAATGCAAACTCTAATGCAAAATATTTACAAATTTGGTACCATCTGGTTTGCAAGACCAATCTTTACTTATGAACTGCAAGTAGCCAACAATATGCATGTAAAATATGCAAAGCGCAAAGGCTGTTAAAAAAATTATGCACTTAAGGCAGTAATGAGGCAATAAGACACATCAGAATTAGCTAATAACCTCTTTACAACAGTTAAATGATCAGTTGAATGATCATAATGCAAGCATGTTAAAGGAAGTGCACAGAATACTTAACCAGGCACCAGAAGCAGATAAGAAAGCATTCAACCAGAATAATGTACAAGTCAACAGATGGCAAGGTTCAGATAATGTTTATGAGAAAACATTGCTAAAGTTGCATGACTGAAGTCGCTGATTCAAGAACTATAAAACCAGTATATCACTGATGAAAAGGACTTTTCTTTGTCCAGACCTGATAAAGTCAGCCTCTTTTGACAGATGAAGCAATTAAACTAACTCAAACTTGTGCCAGTCCATATTGGTAGTTCACACTTAAATGATATATTACTTTACTGCATTTAGTATAATCAGAACTGTAAACACTGTATGTTTGACAGTTGAATATTACGTTTTGTTAACTCATTCCTAGCAACATTTATATAAAAAGGGCATTTGATCCAATGGATACTTTATTTCCATTTAATTAGTTCTAAGGATGAAACCAATCTTGCAGATTAGTCCATATAAGTATTAGTCTACAACAATCTCTACTAATGTTCCTGCTCACAAGGCTACTGTATATTACTTATTTGTAGTTTAAATGAAAAAAATAAAATAAAAGCATTGTTCAAAACTTCCAGTCCCTTATCGCTAACAAGCAACCAAGACTAATACCTACAAATCTGATCTGAACAATCAATGATTTTAAGTATAGGCAAAGGAGTTCATTAAAATTTGGTTTAATTAAAATAAAATGCCTTATTTCTAATTAGAAAATTCTAGAAATTTTATGAAATCACCATAAGACCTGAAATTGAGCCTGATTGTTCAATTCTATTTTTGTACTAGAAAGAATAAAATGGAAAAATCTGAAATGCCTCCAGAAATGTTGGATAAAGATACAGATATTCTATTCTCACATTTTACTGTTTCACAAACAATCTGGTAAAATATTTCACTAGGAAGAAAACTAATGATCTGAAACATAAGATAATTAATAAAGCAACTTCGATGTGCTTGAAACCACTATATAAAAAATTGATGGAGAGCTCTGTTAATATCTGATTATTTTTACAGATAATATAACTGTCTTTTAGCTAGTGTGGATCTAGTTGTTAATCCTAAAACAGCAAATGAAACAGAATGGCAATGAATCTAGGTTTTCTTTTAAATCCCCCCTTTCTTTATTCTTCACCATAGTGTCTTCAATTATGTATATGCTAGCAAATTTGAAGTTGCAATCTTTAATATAGTCATGACTAAACAGCACAAAATTCAATTGGATTTAGTTTTGACAACATGTATAGGACTGTTTTTCCCATCATTCTGAAGTTGGACTTTTTTTTTCTTTCTACCCTATTCCAACTCTTTACAGAACAGGTTTGGTGGAGTAAGAATCCATTTCATTAGCAGATGTCATTTTAAAAGCAAAATGACAACAGGGATGTAACTCATTTTTCATTTTGTTTTCATGTCCTTCTGATTCCCTAAAAAGATAGTATTTGGCTTTAAATAAGCATACTAGATTGATTTTATTTATAAAACTTTCATATTGGAGAGTTTTCTTTTTATTAGCCTCTCCTATATTAATTTTTTAAAATGGGAAATCTATAATATTAATATCTACATTCCTAATACAAATGCATTTTAATAATATGTTAATTCTTAGATTATCCTGATTAACTTCTGCAGGTGAAAGGAGAATAATAAATGCAAACATCTTTGTTATTCTATCATCACAAACAGATTCAAAAGCACAAATAAATATACTGTAATGTAGTGTGTATGTATAATATGTAAATATATATGGCTAGCAATGTACAAACTGTATATTTATGCTCTCAAAATATACTGTCCTATACTGCATGTGCTTAGCTAAGCAGAGCTAAATAGCAACTTGTCCTCTTCCACTAAATTATTACTTAAAAAAAACATTCCAGAAAAAAAAAACCATTTAGATTACCAACATTTTAATTACAGAAAGAGTAAATGTATAACTAACAAAAATGCCCTTTCCTAATGAAGAAGAAAAAAAAAAGAATCATGTTAAAAAAATCATGTTTATATTAAAGAGGAAGGGAAAATGCCATAAACACAAAAAAATGGACTCGGCTTTCTGGAGAAAACACTAATGTCTAAAAATGTATAATAATAAACTAACCTTTTTGATAGGTGGAAGTTTGAGGAGCATAATTTATGGGGAATATACACTGACATCATTATTCTGATTCTTCCTTCATCTAATAAAAGTTATGACTGGGAGATTAAATAACCATCAGTTCATTTTAAGGGAAGTCTTAGCATTATTGTAAAAGAAAAAATAATTGATAATATTGTAATGTTGCATATAAAAAGTGCAACAGGACATAAATATTTGGGAAATACATTGTATCTATGTCTACACTGATGACCATAGCTAATTCTTACAATTTATTTAAACTTATGAACAAATGCCTATTTGTTCCCAATACAGAATGGGGTCATTGAACACCTGTAGACCATTGAAGAATTATTCTGCTGGTAATTCAAAAAACAATCTGTGAAACCTACCCTCCTTTACCAGTACCTCACCTCTGCTTTCCAGTCTACAAACTTTCCTACATGTTTTGAAGAACAATGCACTTGTACTAAAATAAAATGTTTTATTAATGTAAGAGTGACAAGTGGCCCAAAATTTATCCATTGCTACTCTGAGTATTAGAATAAACAGCAGCATAATCTCATATATGTTAAGTAGTTTTGGAAGCTCAATAATGCTTGTGTGTATAGGATTGCTGCAAAATTATAAATATTTAGTTTGAATAAATTCCTCTGACTTCAGTATTACATTTTAAACATATTTAAATTGAGATTGGAAGTAGATTATTGTGGCAAGAAAATCTGTTTGCTTTTCTAGGTAAAAGAGGAAAATAATACTTTAACACATACAATCCTTGCTATTCCATTAACAGCTACACTATTATATGAAAGGAAGGCAGAGGTTCAAGGCAGTCAGCCAGATGTCTGTGAGTGTCACAAATAAAAACTGCTTCTGTCTATAGTTTATTTCGGATTTAATTGTGCCCTGACAATATACTTTCTTCCTGCTTTTCTTTGTTTAATAGAAGGCAGATGAAAAGAGTTCCCCACAAACACTACTCACTCCTCATCTTTTACATATTACAAAAGGGCCAAAGGGAGAGAGAAGCAATTACTTTTTCTCTTCCTGGAGTTCAGAAAAAAGAGAAGGATCATTATCTTCTCCATTTTCCACTCTGGTGCAAGGGAAAGGAATGCAGTGATCCTTATCCTTCCATTTTAATAGAGCAAGCCTTGAAAGGTGTGTTGTGCGCAGAGAAAGGATCACTTGTTCTGCAGAACTTTTTATTCAGTAATGCAGCACCTGGATCTGTCTGCACATGCGCTGTTTCAGGTGAATTTTATAGTGACAAATGATTTACAATACAACTTGCTAATATTTCCATATATAAAGCTGTGATTACAGCTTCTCTTTGAATATGAAAGTTTTACTTAGTCATCACTTTCATAAAAAGCCACTAACAGGAAATGTATAGAACTAGTATCTGCATCTGTTACAATTCATCACTTTCAAATATTGCAAAGTACATTATCTCAGTGTTCTTGGAAGTAATTCAGTATCAGAAAATCCTTAAATGATATAAGTGGCACATATTAGCTATGCAAAGCAAACTTAGAAGCACAGATCTTCCTAATTCTAAGTAGTAATGTAGAATAAGCTTGGCAATTATTAAAGATTAGGGAGTTATATAATTGTACAACATTCAAAGTGCTATATATATTTTGTAAATATGTCAGTTAGGATTTAGTCAGTGAAAGTATTTTTGCGACTTTACTCGCTGTAAATCAATTCATTATACTCTTAAATGTCTGATTATTATTCCTGTTTTGCTGGCCTAGCATTAACAGTAATACTACACTCTTGTTATTTTGTATTAACTGTAGCATCTAATTATTATCACATTGTTTTTTGGCTTGTAGTGTATCTTTACCATGGCAATAACTAGATGTTAGATGTTCTGTCACTGGTAACATCTTTTGGCTCTAATGTATAATTCAAATGTGAACTAAAACAAGTTTTGGCCCTTAAAATGTTTTGTTAGAAGAACAATGCAACTGTTTTTAACTTGGCTATACGATTTAAGTTTTAAAATGAAACTAAAAGGGAAAAAAAGCCCACAATAATATTGATTCAATTTCAGAAGAAATTAGCAAACAGACAGTAATTGATTTTCTCTTTTGTTCTGATATATTGCAAATGACAAGACCAAACAAGCTGTGAAGGTAACTAGTCTGTACTGGATGGAACTGTGAACAGATAACTGGCAAGTGAGAGCCATACCACCCTGAAACATTGCCTCTTTGGAACATTCATACTGTGAATGTTCGATTATTGGAACAGAATAATGATGACAACTATGCCATCTGTCCCAAAGATGCTTTTTCAAAATGCAACTGGACTTTCTTTTTTTTTCCTTGCAGAGGTTTTGCTTCTGATCCACAAAGCTTCTTTAGTTCTGACTGAATGGTGGAGAATGGAAGGATTTATATTCCTTGCAGTCATTTGGTCAGTGTTTCTGAGAATCATTGAGGCCACGTGGAGGTTTATCTGTGGCCTCAGGGTCTCTGAATAGTGCACCAGTCAGGTGACCGTGAGGACACAGATAAACCTCCAAGAGACCTCAAGAATGACCAGATGACTGCAAGGAATATAAATCCTTCCATTCTCCACCATTCAGTCAGGACTGAAGAAACGTCTTGGATGAGAAGCAAAAAGTCTTCAAGGAAAAACAAAGAAAGTCCTTTTGAAAAAGCACCTTTGGGACAACCATGACCAGGATGACTAAGAATCTCCATAGACATTTAACTATGCCATCTGAGACATCTAATTGACTTACATCATGAAAGCTACAAATAGAATATGGATAAAACTATGATACGACACCAAATAGGGACTGGATATCATATTATGGTAACTGAAGGAAGCCATCCATTATTAATTCAAAACTGTTAGAACTTACTGTTAAACTCAGTTATTTTACTAATGCCCATCAGGCATAGTGCAGTGCAAATTCATAGCAGCTACCTTATTAGTAGTAATAATACTTCTCAGCAAATGATTTTTTCACAGCTCTTGTTGCCCAGGTATTGTACTACAGATTTAAATGAAAGCAAAAGTATGCCGCATTTCATATAAATGAAATAACAATTTAAAATTAGATATACACTTAAGTATGTATAAAAAATAATACTCACTCCTTTATTGTTTTAAGGCAGCAGTCCTGCATAAGGCTGCAATACATTATTTATTCCTCCCCCACTTAAATTAAGCTTGCCAACTTGTGGGAATTTTGTTATAGTACTAATATTTTAGGGACAACTTTATGAAACTAAACTTAATACTCTTAAGTATCTAAATGTGAAATAAATGAATACTTAAGTCACAGAGGAAGTGTTCCTTTTTCTTTCTCTGAAGGTATAATTCTCAAATTTAATCTCCTTTCTCCTGTCATATCCATAAATTTTATATAGGTGCTATTCCAAGGATCAATAACCAAATGCATAAGGGCTATAGCTCAGTGGTACTGTAGCAAATCTTTTGCAGGCTGAGAACCCAAAATCAATTCCTGTGTATCTCTAGCTATAGAAAACTATCATGGTAGCAGTACAATTGCCTGCCCCAAGAAAGCAATATTTGCCTAGGTAGTTAAATAGTCTGATAAATTTAAATTTGGATAATGTTTTTGTTCCCTTAGACAGGAACTCAGAACTTCCTAGGGTAACTTTTAAACTGTGATTGCAAAAGATTTTATTGGATGTGGGATAGAGAAAAAAAACAGTAAAATTATTTCAGCATTAGCCACTTGAAAAAGAATACACATTTATGTTCTGACTATGTCTGTCATTTATATCTACTAATCAGCAATCCTGTTGCATTGAATATGAGCAAAACAATCCTTTAGTTTTACTTCTGTTAATGTGTGTGTATGTATGCGTGCATGTGTGCCAGTTGGCAATTTAGTATTATATGACATATTTATTTGTTGTGATATTACAACAGAGTAAACTAATTTTAAGGGGTAATTTTATTTATTTATAATTTAGCTGATTACATGTTGTTTAGTCTTAAGAAATATTAACATTATTTACTTTAATTATTACCACTTACGGTGCCCAATGTCTAATGAATTAGGGAACTAATGTGGAAGTGAAAATAATCTATTCCATCTTCTAACTTTTGTATAATACAGAAGGATTTAAATTTTTAGATAAAGCAATATTATCCAGAAAAGTTTAAGTATCCAGAAAAATATCTGATATATCTTAAACATTAGTTTTTGAAGATGTTTACGTAGAAATAAGTTTTGTGTCAAGTGTCCTCTTTTAATAGCCATATATATGTCATCTACCAAATCCCTCTTTAAAATTCAGTCAATGTACATGCATATACTATAATCCAAATATGGGAAACAGAAGCTGAATTCCTTGTCTCTATTTGCTGATTCACTTGAATGTAATCATAAAAAATAAGAAATTTAATATTTAGAGGCCCTGTAAACATACTAACTAGTGATCTTACAAGTCTGGATTTCAAGACTTTAAAATACAGATATATCTACTTCAGAATTTCTGGCAAATTAAAAGCATAGCCTAAACATATACACATTTCCCATTAAGTAGCAACAAGGAAATGAACACCAGAGTTCCTCAAACCTTTAAGCAACACAAAATCATTGTGGATGCTAAGATAACTGGAAAATGATATTTCTGAGGGATCATGTTATTCTGAGAATAATGACTGGATCATTCTAGAGCTTAACTATTGTTCAGGAACACAGACCATCATCGCTGGGGCCTAAACTGAAAAGAGAGGCATGAGATAGCACTGAAATAGGTAAGAAAGGCACAGGAGAGAGCAGTATTAAACCACAAAGCTGCAAAATACACTCAGAACTGAAATCTCTGGCTTTGCTTCCAATTGCTTTCTCTTCTGTTTAATTAAATAAATTACTTTCATTAGCTCTACAGCTGAATCAGTTTGCACAACTTGTCAAATCTGTCCTCCAAAAATGTGGAATTAAACTCCAAAATGTCACAGATTTTATAGGTTAAGACACCCATCTTGCCTCTTAAAATACCCACAAAATATGAATAAAATGGTTAAACTCAGGATATGGGCTGGATGGTTACAGGGACAGAAACGGGATGATGGAAGTTGCATGTAGCACTTTGGCATCTATTTAAGTAGTAAAATGGTCTTAGGAAGGAGAGAAACCCTGAATCTAATAATACTTAGAGCATGGTAAGACCTGGAGTTTATGTGATGTGAATGAAATGTGTATCTCCTTGTTTCATATGGTCATATTTTTGATTATCTTTGGATAAACTTGCCCATTATTAATTTTACAGTGGCGACCTTAAATGTCATTTTCTAGTTATGAGTTGCATCCACTATATTTAAATTAAGTATATGTAGACATAATTTATTAATTCCAGCTTTTCTACCAAACATGGACCTTAATTTGAATTCTAAAATTCAAATACATTTTCCGAGCATTGGTTGAATTAATTTAGTATTCTGACTTTTACAAATCAAATGTCACTCTTGCTAACATTTTGCTGACCTCATTAATTCACTCTGTGAACCACAGAATCTATAATTCAGTAAGAGTTAGATCTGCTAGATCTGCTTTTCTATTAAAGTTTCTTGTTGTTTACGATGAGCTAAAATGTTTTGCACATTAAAATATGGGCCAAATAGCACTTCTGACTTCAAGGCATGTTACTTGCCCTGATAAGAGGATATGTATATATTCAGGTGAGATTTACTTAAAAATTTAAGAACTCACTTTTCCATATAACCAGAAATGGGAAAAAGAAATTTCAATATACAGAAAGAGTCTTGCACTGCTGTATATCATTTTTATATAACTTAACAATCTGCAAATAGGAAATTATGGGAGTATGTAGGTAATCACAAAATGCCAGCAAATGTGTTTCTCTTCTTTAAAAAGCAGTGAGATTTTAATCCTTCTATTCTTTATAAATAAAAAGCTTTCAGTGCAAACATTTTAAACAATATAAAAATGAAGATTATTTTCAGGTTTCTTATTGAGCATTTTAATTGAAAATGAAATAAATTGAAATTCAATTAAGTTCAGTGCAAATATACCTGAAACATTAAACATAAATAAATATATTAATATTATTGTAGAAATCATTGGGTCACAAAATTATACGCTTTTTGGACTGCAGTGACCTTTGGCTATAAGAAAGAATGTTTTTAAAGTAAAGGAAAAAATATTAGAAAACCATCTGGATAATGTACTTCCAATTATGTTCTAATTATTTATAGCATGAGCTATAAATATAGAGCTAGTATTTAGTCATAGTGGGAAAAATTGGATCCATACTGGGCTGTGATGTGACCATGGTAAGGAAACAAGTAAGGAAATAGTTATATAAAATGAAAATTTAGATATATGAATACTTGTCCTATAGCCACACATTTTTAACTATTGTTGTATTTGTTTTGAAATATGGTATTTATGGAGGCAAGAATAAAAAGTACAAAAAATGAACAGAAAGAATAAAAATAATAAGTGGCCTGACAGAACATTAACTGAGTAAAAATTAATTATTAGCAAGAATCTGATTAATTGGCTTCAATATGGATGGAAGGGAGTGGGATGAATAAATTTAGGATTTTTCTGCACATGACAATAGCTTTTCATTCACTGAAGAACCCTTCAAACCTTTGGATTTTATTTCACAAAACTGGAATTGTATCCATGCATAAATGCTACCTATCAAGACTAAATAAAAAGCTGTAGCATTAGAAAAGAGGCCTTAATAGAAACCAGAAAAAGAATTTTAAAAAGCAGTAATATAGTTAATGTAAAAAAATCACCTTTTAAAGCCATTGTATAATGAAAACTGCAGTATTTTTTTTCATAAAGTTATAGATCACCAAAAGTGTGATTGTGACAGAGTAATTGGTTTCCTTATATCTTAAAACTACAGATTCAAATCTTGGTTTAGATAATTTGTCACTTGATTTATTTTTTTACAAATCTTACTTATTTATCCTCAAATACAAATGTTTACGGGAGGACTGATGCAAGTGTCCAATTTTTTAATATTCTCTTAAATAAACACGTGGCAGGTATAGCACCCAAAGGTTTGTATGAGTGACAAGGATTTTCTGCATAGAATACATTATTTTGAGGGCTATATATTATTTTGGGTCAATGAATGAAGATAATCTATACCTTTTTTCATCAAACAAATCTATTTTGCTTTGAGGCAATATTCATTTTCAATGAATAACACGCAGCAAGTTCTACATTAAACCTATTTAAAAACAGGTGTTTTTTTTTTCAAGAAGTGTTTAATTTGAAAATTTTGTTTGTAATTTTGATTTTGCACTAACATCTTCTACACTTCTTTTTTGTTGTCAGTGCTTATCTTAGGTCACAGAATTGTCCAATTTTTGACAACTGACTCAAACTATTGTTTCTGTTATTGGTAATCAATTTGTTCCTAAAATTCACCTCACCTGGAAAATGAACCATATAAAACCATGTTATTGCTTAAACAAATCAAAATTCTTGACTGATTTTCAGTAGTTATAAAAATGACATTCTTTCATCGTGTTGTAAATCCAGGTTCTGTCTTTTTTTTACATTTTTGTATATTATTTCTGATGAAATTATTACTTTTTTATTTTACTCACTCAGACTCCTGGATGAAGCTGTTATGCTAATCATATTAATTTAAAATGACAATTCCATATGTGCACCCTTTTAATTAATCAGTACAGTTATGTGGAACTAATTTACACTCAAATCTATATAACTTTCTTCTGGTTAACTTGTTTATGGTCAAGAAATTATCATTCTGGACTCATGATTAGGATGATACCTAAATAATGTATGAGAATTTTCTCCCTTCTTTAATTTGTGCTCATATTTTTAACTTGTTTAAACAATGATAGTTTTAAAAATTATGCAGATTGTAGCAATTGTTAGTCTAAAAATGTGTCCATATTGCCATTTATAAATGACTGAGCAATTGTAATTACCTAAATTACAAATATTTAAGATCCCAATCCTATAGATGCTTTGTTGAAAATAAATCCCAGAATTCAATGGGACTTATTTCAGAATAGACATGAATAAGGTTGTGCTATATAACAGAAGTTGTGACCTACTCTGACAGAATTTAAATATCTAATAAATGATGTTCATCAAGGAGTGTCTTACAAAACATGATTAAATCTAGCATCCTGTCCCTGAACACTTTATATGAAGTTATAGAACACTTTATTTAAAGTTTTCCATTGATTTCTACACAGAAATTCAATCTCATAAGATTTAGTTGAAACAAAGATATATTTAAAATTTAACTAAATGTTTTATTGTTGACTCTCCATTTGCATATTATTTTCAGATAATTTTCATTTGAAATAGGAATTATGTACCATGATTCACAGGAAAGAAACTTACTATAATAGTTAGACATTAATCCAATGTAACTAGGTACATAAGAAGTACTGTTTAAGGTAATTCTCAAAAATCCGCTAAGAACGGAAGTGATCAATAAAAACGTGCAATTCTGAATGTCTTGCCCTATTTTGTGAAGTAGAAATTGCAAAGCATGGCCCTTATCTTTAATGTTTTTGCAGATGAAAAGGAGGAAGATTATCTGTACTTTTATAAGGAAAAAGAAGGTTTAGAATTTAAGTAGGAGATTTGATCTATATTTCAGGGAGGATAAAATATCTTACAAACCAATCTCTGGAAGCAATTCTTTAAATAAATGCCCTTTTTCTAGGTACTTCCAGAAACTATAGACAAAATGATATTTTATCATTCCAATGATATAAATAGTGTTAAAACACTTCCTTCTCAAACTAATTCATTTAAACTTTAGATGGAACTCAAAAGTCTTAGAAAATAATCTGACTTCCGAACAGCTATTCATCTGACACTACAATATGGACAGAATATGGTGGAAGATATCACATATATTATCACTCAATTTCAAGGTGCTATTCTCAAAGTAATAAAAGCATAAAGGAAACAACAGAAAATATGGTGACACATATTTTTCTTATCAGAAAGAAATATCAGGACCATCTCATCTTTACCCTCTTGCTATATGAAAGTAGGACATCTAACCTTAACAGTCTGTATTAACAATAAGGTATGAATGTGTGTGTATACACACATTCAGTTATATAACTGAGCAGATATTAGTGGCAGTGTACGCAAAAAAAGAAGAAAATTATGTTTAAAAAGTTACAATTTTCCTTCCTTCTGTTTTTGTACAGAAATACTGAAGTAAATATATATATATATATTTAAAAAATCAGCATTCTACCTGGTAAACACTTCTGTCCCCCTAAAAAAAAACTGAATTAAAAAAAAAATCTTGAGAACTCTTTTTATTCCCCCCCCCCCAACTTGTCTATTACTTTACCTGTCTCATCATGGATAGGCTTGACACAGCCTTTTTTATTTTATCCCTAATTTTTTTAGGAAGTAATCCTTTCCTTATACCTAGACTAGTAGGTGAAAAAACCTCTCAATTTTTTCTTTTTGCTACTTATCTTTGACATTTGCAAAGTCCCACTATTTGGCTGAGGCTCTGTGTCATCCCTCCTCAGTCTTGCACTTCCAGAGTTGTTGTATTTGCAGCTCCCATCTAGAAATCTGGGAGTTGCAGTGCTTAACAGACCTGGAGGGTGCCAGATTGGCCAAGTTTGCCCTATGCTCAGCAAAGACAACATGTAATTGCAGAAAAGCTACTTTTGTTCACCTCATTCTTACTTATTGTTCCTAAGTCCGATGAAAGATGGTATTGGTGTTAGTGGGGGAGAAAGAAGTTGGGGTTATAAATCTGAACGGGTGGAATGGAACCGAATCCACAAGAGGAATCTATTATTCTCCTTCCCCATCCTGCAGGGACTCCACACCATCCAACCCAAACTCCCTTGCCATTTTCCACAGCCCTTTTATGATAGCAAGACTAATGGTGGAAACCAATAGGGCCCATTGTGTGTGTTGCTGATCGATTTTTATGTTTCTATTCCACAGTTTTAACTGGATATTGTGAAGTCCAAAACGGTCAGAATTGTGAATCTGTCCATTGAAACACTGCAAGCGGTGTACTTACGACAGTAGGCCTTGTAGATTTCATAACATATTTCTCGTTGTTGTTGTTTTTGTAGTGCTCTTCACAAGTGACAATTTTTTTAAGGTTTTTTTTTTTTTTTGTAGTAAAGAAGGGTTGTATTTAGAGGCCAGTAGCTAGAGATCCAACCAGTAGATCTCCTGAAACACTATCTGGCCTTAAGGCCACCATCAAAGGAAGGCTGAGATAATTACTATTCATCCAGCTTCCAGAAATGTAATGTACCAGCAGGCAAAAAACAGTTCATCATGTAGTACAAAAATGAAAATAAACAAACTAAAAATGAAAAAATGAAAAAAAAATCTAGTGCCATAGCTTTTCGTTGTTTCTCTGTTTGGGCTTTGTTGTTGTTCATAACAGAATAGATATTATTTACCCATCTGAAACATGCAGCCTCATGTGGTCGTTGAAGTGCTCAATTTGGTCAAACTTAGCTGGGCAGACAGAGCAAACATAGGTCGTTCCCTCAGTGCAGGCCATCACTCCAGCTGGAAGTGCCCTTGCCCCAGTGCTTGTTGTGTTAGATGTTCCATTTGTGGCACTATGTAGAGCCACGTGTCTTTCAAGCAGGGTCTTGTGTGAAAACTTTTTCTTGCAAATGTAGCATTCATAAGATTTCTCCCCACGGTGGAGCCGCATATGCACATTTAGGGAACTCTTCTGCGTAAAACGCTTATTACAGATACTGCATTGGTAGGCTCTGACACCAGTGTGAGTCACCATGTGTTTGATTAGGTAATCTTTTAGGGAGAAGGATCGCCAACAAATGCTGCATTGGTGGGGCTTCTCACCTGCACAATGACCACAAATGGAAACACAAGGAGAAAGAAAAATAACATTTAATTAGGAAAAAAATGCCAATGAATTCTCCTATAACGTATTTTCTAGTTATCCAGTATATGGTTATTTATTTATTAATCAAATTCATATGCTGCCCACCTCTGTTCATAAAGTGAATCTGGATAGCATAGAACAATCCAATAAAACAATAGAAATATAAAACAGTCATTATCTAAAGTTATTGTGTAATAATTATTTTAGAAAGCATTAAAACTATGGAAGAACCCAGAATCAATAATACTCATTAAGATGGATAAAGAAGGGAAGGAAGTGAGTTGTGTAAATGCAGATAAGGCCACAGATAAGCAACCTATTCTTGTGATCTCTGTGCTTATGATGAATAGCAAGCCTACCTGATTGTTGTGGGGAAATATTCTAGTCAAAAACTGACAGCACCACTGCTCTGCCCAACTGGGCATCAACTCTTGCCTGGACACCAAGTAGGTAAAGTTTAATAAAGCCCAAGAGCATGGACCAATAGTAGGCTGTTGAGATAAGGTAGTGATATTCAGTTATACAGCATTGTCCCCTCCTCTGTGACTGATCCTACGTGACATGGAGCTGCCCAGAGTTGATTGCAGTTGGGTGATGTCAAGTAAGTAAATAAATAAGTTCCAGTAAGTTTACTGATTCATGTGCATCAATATGAATTGGACTATTTATCGAAGAAGAAATATGCTTAACTGAGGGAAAAATGTTTTCCATCCATAAGAATGGTTTTTGTATGCTTTTGCATCCTCAGATGAACAACAGACAGACTAAGGATGCAAAATACGGGTTTCAATGTCTCACGTTCAGATTTGGAAGAATACTTTCCTTCAGGGCTTTATTTGCTGATCTTCATTTTGGAAGAAGTCTTCTTCCAATGCTGAATCCATACCTATATTACAATTTTATATTGCCATTAGAAAGGAATTGCTATTGTAGCCATGCTATGCAATTTTCTGACCTCTACGCTTGAACTGAATTAAAAATCTCAGTCATTTCTATTATCACCAGCCCCGCTCCCCATCTCTATTTCTTCTTTCTTCATAAATTCAGGGTAATGACTCCATCCAACATGACTCCTTCCTAGGTTCTTTTGCTCAAGATAGATAAAACGAATAATTTTCTACTGTTGGAGAATATGCATTCTTTAGAAACTTTAGATTAGGTTACTTTAATCCTATTGAAAGAGCATGCTGAATGGCAATGAAATCTGAAAGTTGTTGTGTAGTCTGTGGAAGGCTGGAAAAAAGAATAACTGAGGGCTAGAGCATTGTTGATTAGAGCTGAAGATACAGCTCTATCAGAGCCCACTCACAGAAGCTCTCACCAGTACAAATGCCTATGGTTTACTTTCTCCCTTGCAGACCAAGTCTATTTATCTTGATTACAATTGTAAGCAAACACGAGAATAATAAAGAGAGACTATTAGTCTGCAGCTACATAGCAAGAAAATACACAGAAAGTTCCTATGATGCAATTGCTAGAGTAGTTGGAAATATAGCAAAGGGAAGGCAAATAATTGCTTTTGAACGCATGTAGTACAGTCACCTCTGCTTTTCATGCCAGTCACCTCTGCTATATTGGGTTCCCAATAAAGCTTCAGCACAGAGTTCCTTATGTGGGATACAAATAGTCCATGATGAAGAATATAGCAACACAGGATACTGGCAGTAGTTGTTGAAAGGTTTAATATTCCTTTTTTCAGAATAAATGTCACTTTCATCAGTGTGAATGACACAGATCAGACTGACAGAAAAAAGGGAATAATGTGGTTTTCTACATATTTATCTTGCCTTGACACAAGTTCTCTAACCCTGTATCTTGGTAAGTTTTCACAATGAAGTATCAGAGTTAAACAGCTGTCAGCTTGTGTCACATAATAAACACTTGACATTCATTGAATTGCTACTACTTCAAAATGAGAATAATGCCTGATAATGGTTGGAAGCCAGTCAGTCAATTTCTGTCATAACCAATGGATCAAAACTCAGTTGACCTGAAAAAATGGAAACTTCAATTGCAGAAAAACATTAAGAAGGAAAAAGAAAATTAAAGAATATGTGTCTAACGTGAGAGCCAGTTTGGTGTAATGGTTAAGGCATCGGGCTAGAAACCAGGAGACTGTGAGTTCTAGTTCTGACTTAGGCACAAATTCAACTGAGTGACCTTGGGCACTCACTTTCTCTCAGTCCTAGGAGGGAGACAGTGGAAAAATACTTCTAACAAACTTTGCCAAGAAAACTGCAGGGACTTGTCCAGGCAGCCTCTGAGAACTGGAAACAATTGAAAAGAAGAAAAAATAATCTAAATTAATATAATGTGTTTCTAGCTGATTAATAGTTTTTGAAATTTTATTTTAGTTTTTAGAGGCAAAAATATATTATAATTTATGCTAGAAGAAGAAAAGAAATTGCAGAGAAGCTGAACAGATTCTTTTCATCTTCACATGAGAAAAGTTGAGACAGATTTCTGAGCTGGAGCGCTTGTGTCAGGAAGGGACACAGATAAACTGAGCCATATAATAGTGTCAAGGGAAGAAGCATTGAACTTTTATTGATAAATTTTACATAAAACTGTGGATCTTCTGAATAAAATATGCAATCTGTCTTTACATTCAACCTTTGTAATTTGATGACCTGAATACAGGTTGTCCTTGATTTACAACCCCAATGAAGCCCAGAATTTCCATTGCTAAGTAAGACAGTTGTTAAGTGAATTGTGCCTCATTTTACAACCTTTTTTTTGCCACAGTTGCTAAATGAATCACTCACTGCTGTTAAGTGAATCATGTGATTGTTAAGTGAATCTGGCTTCCCCCATTGATTTTGTCACATGACCCAGGAACAGTGTAACTGTCATAATAACATGCTAGTTGTCAAGTGCCCAAATTTTCATTAAATGACGATGGGGATGCTGCAATGGTTGTGAAAACTAGTTGTCTCTTTTTTCAGTGCTGTTGTAACTTCGAAGGGTCACTAAATGAATGGCTGTAAATCAAGGACTTTAAGAAGGCTCACAAGGAAATCCAGAAAATTAGGACCTGTCAGTTTAACATGTTACAGATAAGATAAAATATCAACTATTTGGAGACACAGTCCTTGCTCATGGATACCCAATAGGATTTCACTAAGGGAAAGTCCCGTTTAACTAATCTATTAAGAGTTTTTCTCACAGGGTGAATAAACATGTGGGTAAGGATAAGTCAGTAGACCTAATTTACTTAGATTTTCAAAAAGTCCCAGATCAAAGACTTAATAGTAAGTTTTAAAGCCATGAAATGAAATGGCAAGTCTTCTTGTGGATAAGCAACTGGTTAAAGAATAGGAAACTAAGAATAGGACTAAGTGGTAATTTCTTACAATAATGGAAGGATATAACCAGTAGAGTGCCCCAGGTTTCTGTTCTAGGACCAGTGCTTTTTATCATACTTACAAATGATCTGGAATCAGATATAACCAGTTGAATAGCCAAATTTGCTGATGACACTAAATTGTTCAGAGTAGTAAAAACTATAAAGCACTACAAAGAGCTTTAGTATAATCTCTGCCCATTAGGGAATTGTGTATCAAAACGACAAATATTCAAGATGAGCCAATAAAAATGATGCACATTGGCGCCAAAAATCCTAAATATTCATACAAACTAATGGGACCTAAGAGAATAGTGACTGATGAGGAAATAAATCTTTGGATAATGGTAAACAGTTCAATGAGGGTGTCGATACAGAGCATCCACTGTAAAAAAAAAGAAAAAAGACCAGCAGCATGTTAGGGATAATAAGAAAAAGTATCTTCATACAGAAGATACAATAATTGGTATCTTCTGTAAATCTGTCCAATTGAGAATGAGAAAGTATAAGCAAATGACAAAGTATAGTACTACATAGGAAATTTTTGTGTGAACAGATTCTATGTTTTAATTTTTTTGGCCTTTCAGCACTGTAAGGAGATGGTTTGTGATGCCATGTATGTACCAGAAAAAATACTGAAGGTGCTAATTTTGCCCACTAATTACTCTAACTTACAGCCCCTTTGTAACAGCTTGGCCTCATTTTTGAGGACTGCATTCAAAATGAGGACACATTCAAAAACTAGACAGCTGGTGAAAGAATGCAATCACAAGTTCAAAGTGGAATGAAAAATTAGATGGATATGTACGGATGAGAGAATATCACTTCAAGAGTTAATAAAAATAACTGCTCTGTGACATGAATCTATGGTGTGGAACAGACTTCTGCAACCTTTCCAGTTTTGTGGACCGGGTGTGGGGGGAGAGAGAGGGAAAGTTCCACACAAGTGACAGGCGAGGGTGCACATGAAGGTCCATTTGGGTGGGCAGAGGGCATGCATGCTCACCTGCCACTTCTGCAGCCCGGTTCCGAATGGTTCAAGGCCCATGGTCTCTGAGAGACCCCGGGTCCCCGGGTGTGAAAAGTTAAATGTAATTTTAAGTAACTTTGGGAATCACTTTCAAAATGCAGAACAATTCACTTCTCTACAGTCCCCATAATCACATCCACGACTCTATTACAATATTTGATGCAATTCTGGTTTGCAACGTTTCTAAAGATAGCAAAAAAAAAAAAAGGTAACCCTACTCAGATAACAAAAGGTAATGGGAAAATTTAGTTTTGTAAATGTATTAAGGGAGTATATATAGAAAGCCCAAAAGAATTTCAAAGCAAAGAAGATCAGCTATCATAGGATGGAATCAGAGTAAACCATTTAAAACTATATTATAGCAAACATTATGAAAGAACCCTCAATACTTTCAAAAGAACACTACATTCCTCCAGTGGTCAAGAACACTTAAACAGAGAGTCCATTTTTTTAAACATTGCTTTTTGCATCATATGAACATCTTAAAACAGCAGTAGAGGAATACCTCTCTAGATCAACAATATGTTATATCACATAATAATATAATATAATATAATTATATAATATGATGTTAAATGCTTTTTCTCTCTGGGTTCGTAGCTTTGCTCATATATCAAGTGGCCATATACTTACCTGTATGTACAAACATGTGCTTGACATAATTCTGTTTGGCTGTGAAAGTCTTGTTGCAGAGGGTACACTCATAAGGCTTTTTTTCACCCTGCCCACCTGCTGTGCTGTGGCCTGTAGAAGGAGCCAGGGGTTGTGGGGCTGGCAGTTGGGCAGTAAAAGTTGAAATTCCAGGCTGGGACACTGTCACAAATTGTGCCTGTTGGCCTAGGGGCTGGGGAAGGCTGAAAAGGAAAGGTTTAGGACCACTGCCAGCAGACTGTGTAGTAAAGAGAGCAGGCAAATAGGTATTGCCAGCTGTGCCGATGACCTGTGTGTTGCTGGTCAGGGTCAATGGCATCCTCAGGTTGCTGGTGAGGGTTTCTGTCTGGCGTAAGTAGAGCTGTGTACTTGGCAATGATTGGGAAACAGTTGTAGTGATAGGCTGTAAAGTCCCCTTTTCAGTACTGTTACAAACAGTTATTAGTGCGCTGTCCCTTTCAACGTCATTTCCTCTTTCTGGTGAAGAAGAGTTAGTATCTGTGTGCTGCTGCTGAATGCTTTCAGCACAAACATCATTTTGTTCTGGTTGTGTAGGCTCTTGTTGACCTTCTCGACTTAGGCCAGTCATAAATTGCTGCTCCACAGAGTCAGGTTCAGTGCCAATGGAGGAACTGACTCCAGAATCAAAACTTTCTCCCTTGGGCTCACTTTCAGCACCTTCTGCTTGATCAGTATCCTCAGTGCATTCTTCAGACTCATTACGCTCTAGGATTTGTACTCTCTGCTGTCCATAGTAGTCATAATCATCCTCCATCTCTTGCTTGATATGAATATTGCCCACTAAAGTTTGGATCCGAACTGGACGTGGTTGCTTCCTGCAGTGTGTGGTTTCTGGAGTGGTGGAAAGATACCGCTCCACCTGCTGTGAGCGTTCATGGATCCTTGTAATCCAGCTTGGATCTTCCATATGATGGTCTCTAGAAAGGCCTAGTGCTGTTTCATGGTGGCTGACCACTGCTCCACTGTAGAATGAACGCTCACCACTGCCATTCTGCATAGAACATGCATACAAAGCTGAATAGATCCTGTCCACGCTGTGCTGTGAGTGACTTTGCAGATAACCAGACTCTGTGTCACTGCTCTGTCCTGAAGTGGCTGATTCAGGAGTTCCTCGGGGTGTCTCTTGTGCAGAATCCTGAATCAAAGGGTAGATGTCACCCACATTCTGTGAGACAATCCGTGTGCATTCATCAATCACAGTTTTAATCTGCAGGATGCTGGCTGCTGTGAGAATTTGCAGGGCCTCTGATTGTGAGACCCGCAATACTCCACTGTACATGAAGTCAATGAGCTTTTGTACTGACTGGACTGACACCACAGAAGGAATTTCAATGTCACTGTAGCCCAGTAACAGCTTATCTTGGAAGAAGGGGCTGCCAGCCGCCAACACACAACGGTGGGCACGCAGCATGCTCCCGTGAATGCGGACTGTCACATCACAGAAGTGGCCACGGTTGCGTTGCTCGTTGAGGGTCTCGAGCACAGAATTGCTGAAGTTGTGGAGGTTGATGCTGTGAATGCGCTCTGTCATCCCCTTGCAACTGTTGTTACCTGCCATAGAAAAAAGTAGATTGGTGTTTGAAATGTGTATATGGATTTCCCACCCTTCTCAACAAATGTAAATTTTGTGATGCTTTAAATCAGGATTTTGTGTCTTAGTTACTGAAAAACACATGATTATTAAGCTTGGGGTCCTTTACCTCTCAAAGTGTGTCAAGAACCATTTCATCCTAAATTTGTTCAAAAAAATATATCCAAGAATTTTTGTTATCCTTTCTTTCTTCTTAAATACAAGCATACAGAATGAAAAATGTGTAATTATATATTGTCTAAATAACAAAAGTACTTGTTACCAGTATTAAAACAAATTTAATGCTGATTTAAGTAATGTTTTGTTTCTTTCCCATTTTAATACCATACCAATGTAATTAGTAATAAAGTAATGGTTTCAGTATCTTTAAATAAATAACATTATAGCTCAACAATACTTTAATCTAGCTAGATTGTTTAATAAATTGATTATAGGTTCCTACTGAAGATCAATTAAACCCTATTACACATTTTTCATTAGCTTTAATTAGGATTCAAGGCCACTTTATGCTTTAGGAAATGTATTACTGTTATAATACACAGATTGTACGAAATATAAGAGACACTTTCAAAAAGTATGGGCATGAATGAGACATCTGTCTTTAAGTGTTAAAGCACAAGGCTGTTTCAAAAGCTTTCTCAAGTTGCCAGGCCATGTATGTGCATGCAAATGTCACTTACATAAGGACCACCAATGAAGCAAAGTGGTTTACATGGACATCATGTTGAGACAGCCAAGGGTTTTTGAAGCTGCCATATATGTCTTACTAAGGGTCTTTGTTTATGCTAATGTAGTTTCATGGCATCTCTTTGAATGTTTTGTCCAACCCAGGTTAATACATGAGAAAGGTACATAAAGGTACATTCACTACATAAAGGTAGTGAAACTCAGTTGTCAAAAGATTAAGCACTTTTGAAGAAAAAAAATTACCTGAAATTTAATTTTTTTTTAAAAAAAAATCCAGCTCATTGAGACACATAAAACATCAAGTGCTCTGTATTTTTACACTGTTTGAAAGGAATATTATTTCTGATTAAAATGTTCAAAATTATTAACTGTCAATCAGTCAGGGCCTGATAGCAAGAAAATGAACCAATAGTCTTAAACATTATAATTACAGTATACAGATTCTTATTATTCTAATTGTCATCACAGAATAGTATGAATGTATATGTGGAGATTTCTGACTCATTCTGTTCCCAGACCTGCCACTCTCATTTTAGTTAATACAGTGGGAAATGTTTCTGTGGAACTGAAGCAGCCTTTGTTAAACAGCTCTCTTCTGCCCAGTGCATTTAGCAATCGTAAAGGACCTCACATGTGAAGCTACTGTTAGAAGGGTTGGGAAAGCAGGTTGATTTAGAAATGGCACACAAATGAAAGAGTGTAAAAATGCAAAGGCTATTCTTATCCAAGCAGGCAATGAATGGGCAAGGAGCCCGAGGGAAAAATTGAACTTAACACTGATTGTTCACATGTACCATTCTTTTTGAACTGTAGCAAGACAAGAGATTTTATCCAAGGTTTAAGAGTCTATAAAATGTTTTTGTTATTCTTTACAACTTATTGATAGACTGGAATATGCATGTACTATACCACATTGAAGACAAATATCACAATATGTCACATTCTTTATGCTAAAGAACTAGGAGGTACTGAGTTCTGAATGATGGAAGAGTTAATTGTACAGTTTGAATGAGTGTGCATGGAATGTAACTCAAGAGCTACACAGAATCTAGTAATTATAATTCCCAAGCACAATTAAGGTTGTGGTTTCAGAAACTTGTTAAGACAGAATGCTGGATTTTGATAAACTGGAGTCTATATAAAAAGCTCACTAGTACCTCTTCAAAACACTGACATTCTATGTTAGAAAGAAACTATAAGGAAAGATTACTTCTATTTCAAAAGTTTTTTTTAACCTGATGCTTTCCATATATTTGGGACTAAGATTCCCAGCAGAATTAGCCAGCTGCATTAGTGATTGGCATATGGTGGACTTATATGGGTTCACATCTGGAAAGTTAGTTTCTATTTGATTATGTAAATATAAGGAATCACATGTGGTCTGCTTTTGCATTATTAACCTCCAGGAGCCAAGATTGAGAAATTCTTCATGGTGCCTATAGGAACTTTTATTTTTTACAGTGTCTACTTTGGGTCAGATTTAACTGAATGCATGTTTTCTGAGAAGTCTACAAACAAACAGACTGAACTCAGGTATGGATTAAAATCAAGGCTATCCCATGCAATAAGAGAAGTGAAGTGCCTACATTCCTCTTTCTTATTCTGCTCTCCAGGCCATTGTTTATGATGGTGTGTCTGACCTTGAGAAGGAGACTTATGGGAATTGCATCTTTTGATCCTATAAGACTTCTTGGCATCTTCAATTCATGCAGCCATGATATCCTGATTGCCTCTCTGCTCCTTCCTTAGTGAGTGGTTCCACTGAGAGAGAGGGGATTTGCTTGATAGTCTCTCAGATCTTTCCCGCCTATCTTTTAGCATTTGTATTAATTTATTGGGAGAGGACAGCAATAGATTTGAAATATACAAACAAGACGGAGCTGCTACTTGCTCCTCAAGGTTTTCTGCTGGCTCTTTTGTTAAGTCCAAAAGAAGTAGTAGTAATGCTTTCAGGAGCAGATCTGCAGTTTGATAGTTCACCTGGACTATTGCTGATTGGCAAATGAAGTTCATGGGCAGGAAACCTTTATCCAGTTTCATCTGGTATACCAGTTGTAGGGCTACATTGAGCAAGAGCTCATCATAAGAGCTTGTCATCACCAGCTCCTAGAATTACTGCAGTGGGAGAGTGCATTTAAAGATCACCAAGTTGGTTCAAAATGCAGTAGTAGTTAACCAGAACTAGGTGCCAACTGCACATTATATCTGTATTGTGAATCTTCAAAACTGCCAGAAGGTTTTTCAAAGTGCTGATTTAACTTGTAAGGCCCTATATTTCTTGGCCTGGGTTTTTTTCAGGACTGCTTCCTGTAATCAAACAGTCTGATATGAAAATCTCAAGAAAAAAAATTGCTTGTGATTCCCCACCTCCATGAAATCATGGGGATGATAACAGGAGAAAGTATATCTCTGTCACGCCTCCTGTACCAAGTTATCTCTCTTTCAGAAAGTTGGATTTTATAATTGATGATCGTCTAGAAGAGTGGAATTCTTTTAACTTTAAATATGAAAAGATGCATCATACAATGTTTTTATATATTGCTTCAATTTATAATAGAATGTCTGATTTGTCTGACTTCAAAATTGATTTTACTGGATGCTTTATTATTGTGCCATGGATATTTTATGGGATTTTTTTTAATGTTTTGCTGAGAGTCTTATAATTACAGCAGTGTAGAAATCAAATAAATAAATGTCAGTGCCTCTAGTTTACTGGAAACTACTGCATAATAAATATGTATAGAAACAGTCTTTGAAGGTGGATAGATACACACACACACACACACACACACACACACACACACACACACAACCTTTTGTAAATTGTAAAAAAGATATTTCTCTTGTCAGCAGGAAATCTGTGTTTTTCCCATAACGACAATTGGCTGTTCTACAGCCAGTTGCAGGAGTTTTACAGCAACTTTCCCACATAGGTAGCCCACATGATTACAGCCACAGCAGCCTATTTAAGTACAGACGCATTAATGCATGGAAGCCAAACGTATGCAATGTTAGAGGGTAAACCATTTTAGAACATAATAAAAAGATAAGAGCAATGAGATTTTATCATTTATTTGCTGCTATGCAACTGGAATTATGCAAAGTAAAAAAAATGAGGTTATTATCATGTATTTTATATTTTGGAATTTTTAAACTGTTGATTACTTAATAATTATTTTTAAGTTGGAATGTACAAGAAATTATAATCTTATGTACGTCAACTAATTTAAACTTTCCATCAAGTGTAATCCAGAATCCCTCCTATTCCAAAATATTCTCATGAAATAACCGTGCAAAAAAAAAAGAATTCTCGAACATATATAAATGACAAAATGTTATTTTCAAAGGTATTTTAATCAGGACCACTCAAGGTTGTAGTTCTTATTGCTTCTGTGTTTATATATAATTTATGATGATTTTCCAAAACAAAAAAATTGTGAGCATTTTCTTGTTTGAAAATTTAAAAATAACATGCGTCCCAATTTCAACTGGTGTATAATGATTAAAGTATTTTAAATAAAGGGAAATTTTAAATAGCTTTATTTCTATAAAGGGCTTTTATATACACAAAAAATTGCCACATGATGGCATCCTTTTTAGTAAAAAAAAGCTTATGCTTATATTTTTCCTATGATTTCAGAAAATTGCCATTTGGATTTGCCAATTGGGGGCAGTCTCTTTTTCTGGGCTCCAAGAGTTCAGCAAATCTGTAGAGATCTGCATGGCTATGAAACCTGAAGATGAAAATGGATTTCTACACTATATACAGTAAAAGGTGTTAAAATGTTTTTTATGCAGATGGACATACTGGTTATATAGTTTTAAGATATACATATGGATTAGGACGAAAAGGAAGTGGGCTAATGCGGTGTTGCTAAGGATTATTTACCATTAATTGGAGAAAAAAAAATGAAAATAAGAAAATAGATTGCTGAGATCTTTTAGAGAACATTGTGTAGAAATAAGAACACATATGCTATGAAATGAAAGAAAACTTCATCTTGTTCTGGATAACAACGAAGTTGTTTAGCAGAAAGCTTAACCTAAGCCCTTTAGTACTGTACTAAAGTTTGGGATAAAGTTTTAGGAGAAAGAAGAGGTCCCATCCTCTGAGCCACAAAGAGCACAATGTCAACCTCAGAAGAGTTTCTAATAGAAACCTCAAGAAGGTAATAGAATTTTGAACTACTCTCTCAATTTGAAAAGCATAAATTGTTTCATTTGAATTTTCAATGCTTTTTCAAATTGAGAGAGTAGTTTGAAATTCTGTTACCTTCTTGAGATCTGTGAAGGTGAAACAATGCATTACAAATCGTATAGTAGTAGGATTTTTTAATACTCCCTTCTTTTCAATATTGTTTAAAATATATATGTTGGAAATAGTGTTTTTGATTTTATAAATGATTAAAGATTTATATTGTTTACTGAAAAATATTTAAGTGAGCAAGAATATAGTAATTGAGTCTCTGAAGTAGCACACATTCAAGCTCCAAAATCAAATTTGAAATATTTTTGCTAGTGCAACCTAATGCAACACTTTCACAGCTTTTTTAAAAAAAATTACGTACACTGTACAGTTCATAATAAAATATGTTCCAAATTAAATATTTTTCCTGCAGTGACTTCCTGATAATTTATAATGAGAGCTACTTTGCTGGTTCCAGACTGAATTAGATGATGTTTTTCATTAGAAGATTTTGAAATCTGTGAAATCCTTACGCTTTTTATATCAAATACATTATAGCCCAAAATAGTGGATTGCCAGATTGTTTACAGTTCTTTTAAGTGTAAAGTCTCAGATTCAATATGCCTATGGACCAATAATATTCCTTTCTTTTTTCTTACTGAGAACTCCAAACTTCTTAAAAGTTATTTTCTGTGACCAAAACCATTTGGTCTCCTTAAGTACAGCTTCAGTACAAATCTGAAATTGGTTACCTCCGCTCCTTCCAATTAAATTCATAAAAATATAAGAGACCTAGGGTTGGACCAATTTCAGCATACTTTATAAACTGGTCACTCTGATTATTAAGAAAATATGATTCTAATATATTTAATATTCAGATATTATACTAGCAGTTCTCAAAGAATTTATTTTGTCATTCTATAATTAAATTTTAAACAATTGCATTCCTAATTTTCTTATGATTACTTTTAAACAATACCTCAGATCTTGGAAGTTGGCCTTAATCTCTCTTTATTTTTGAAAATATTCATTTTTAAACCATTTCAGAGATGACAGAACACCGCTAATCATAAGGAAAAGCGAGATTTCACATACATACAATTCATCTCGCAGAATTAATTACTATAGTTATACTATTACAAAAGATATCCAATAGTTCAAATAGCTGGCTAAAGTTTAAGATTTCTTGAAATTTAGTTTAGGGTTTTGAATTAAAGACAACAGGAGAAAAGTAGCAATTAAATACAAGTGAGAGAGTTTATGAATTCCACAGTTCATGATTGCAATCTATTTCTCATAACTAATTCTGTGAATATGATTTATCTTCTGTTTAGTCCTATCTAAATTTGTTCAAGTCTTTTTTTTTTTTTGTCCATTACATAATGATAATAATTCCATACAGCCTGAAGTAGGCATCATCAATTTAGGAGATTCATGTCAAAATGACTTTGACTTCAGTACTGGAAAACAGCAACTAGACAGCAACAACACAAATATGCACAGTAAATAAATAAATGAACAGGGCCTTCCCCAGTTGCTTCCATTAATTTTTGAAAATGCAATTCCATGTTAGTAATTGTGCAGACTGCAGTGATCCAATTTTGTCCTCTTATATTAGCACTTAATCCAAAGTGTAAAAATGTACTTCTTATAACCTTACTCCATCTACTAATTAGGTACATGTTTCAATGTTTTGAGAGGGTGGGTTGACACTGCAATTCATACTGTGTCTCACTCAGCCATCCGCAATGACACTATTGTACTTACAATCAGGTGACCCTGTGTATACGTGCAGGTTTCTTAGTGAATGGGATGAATGGATGAGATCTGGGCTCAGAGATGAGATAGCTTCAAAGTTCAGGCATGGAAGGCCTGACTTGGCAACGAAGGCACCCGTCTGCGTAATCTCATTCTCCTCAGACTTCGGTTTTTTCAGTTGTCTTGGGTTTCTTTCTAAAAGGAAACAAAGAGACCTTTGAAGGTAGCAGTTACCTACAGTATGCAGGAACGAGAATAACTGTGCATTATTGTTTGTTTTCCTTTCAGAACATGTTTTATTGTTTGAGGTTTTTCTAATCTGTTTTTAATGTTGGTTGTTAGTGCTTGCAGGAGCTGTGTCTACAAGCAGTCTGACTGGGGGAAGGTGGTTTGTTTGCCCCTAGAACCACTGGACATTAGAGAGGCATGTATAATGGCTAATTTGATTCTTACAATGGAATTAAAATTTTTGACCAATTCAGTTCATTGTGTTTTGGGGTTTTCATGGCAGAGGTAAATGAATAGAGTTGGTTAACCCCATATAGAACTGGATTTAAGATTCATCCTTGAATGGATAGACTTGATCAAATAACCCCTTTTCAAGTACCCAGAACACTAATCATCTTCTCCCACTGAACACTAGGACCATATTCTAATATTTGTCTTCTTATATAAGCTGGTCAGTTATGTAAAGTAAGAAAGAATTGTCTTGGTATCTAACCAAGTATCGAATTCAGTTGGAGGACAATAGCTTTGCTACAACCCATTCCTGTGAAACAAAACCAAAAACAATTTCACAAACACAACAAATAAAGTGTGTTTAGCTCCCATTTGCTTAGTTAACAGCTCTCCTAGAGAGATATAGAACCATATTCCTTCTCACATTCTCCGTTACTCAGACCCAGAAATTATTTCCACCCTACTCCTTACATTCAGGTGTCAACAATGTAGCCTTGTAAATAAGGGTGCCTACAGTGTGGTCCCTGATGCCAATAACTGCCTAGCCTTACATGATACTGTGTATGGAACATTTAAGATGTATGTTTGTGCTAGAACATGAAGAGATCCTCCAGTCATCTACAAAAGACATTACAATTGTCCATGTATTTGCCTGTTCTTCTTGAAATTGCTGGTGGGCCCAGTCCCACAGCGAGGCCTCTTTGCATGATATTCCTCCTAATTTATCATATTAATTACCCCTGCTTTCTATCCACAGGCTTTTCCTGTCATGACAATAGGAGCTTTAATTTCCTCATGGTAGCTGTAGCTACCATTCTTTTTTAAACTATAAAGATATATGGTTTTATAGCCAGCTCACCTTTCCATGGCTTGTTCTGGGAAGTCTCAAAGCACTCCTAGAAATAATGTTTTTTTTAATTTGATTTATTTAATTTGATTTAATTTCTTCTATATAAGAAGCATGGGATGAGGCGTTAGTACAGCTGCTGTTTTGCAACGCCATATCCACTGGGTTTTTTTATGGATATCAGTTTGTAGTACTTTGTGTGGTTATATCTGTATCCATCACCATCAGCTCCCCCTCCCATCTTCTTAGCTCATCTCTCTCTTTGTACCAGAGTGTCTGGTGCAATAAAACAGATCATCCAGTGACTGCTTCTGCAACTTCTGAAGATATCTTACCTACCAATTATAAAGGGCATTGCCAATGACTTTAACTGATGTGTAGCATAGGGCATCATATGTAAGACATTATCAAGTAAGAGAATGAGCACTTCTGTGCCAGTTTCTAGATACAGTTTCTGATGAAATATTTGTCCAGTTAACGTTTGGAACAACTCTTGAAGTATAATGGGTCTCTTAAATAACCACTACTCTTGATTCTATACAATAGCAATTAGCAATCTGACACCCACACCCACACCTGGGGGAAAACCATCATAGCCTGATGCCATTTTAAAATGAAACATATACATACATAGCATATAATCCAAAATAAGATTAATATAATTTATGGAACAAAGGACACTATAAGCTTCCCTTCCCTTCCACAGAAATATGTTTTAAACATATTGGATAAACATATTTTGTAGCACACAAAAATACAGAAAAAAACCACTCTATGCACTCAGAAAAAAAAGCATCAAATTTCCAGACAGCAGCATAGAGAAAGGAAAGTAGTATTATGAGGCCCTTAAATTAGGATTAGCCATCCAAAATTGCTTGTCCATGTCAACGTGATATTCTGCATAAACCAAGTTATTCCGTGACTGAGGTCGATCAGCAGTAGTTGTCACTACTGTGTACTGCATTAAATCATTGTTTTCCTCATTTCAACTATTTTCTCCTATAACTTAGTTTATCCTAAGCCACCCTGAGTCTCCGGAGAAAGGCGGCATATAAATTGAACTAATAAATAAATAAATAAATAAATTTATTGTCTATGCTGAAAAGAAAAGTGAGTTACTGAGACTCTTAAAACAATACAATTCTGAATGGGACCTGTGCCATTTCAAAGCCAATATTAAAATCATGTTGTTATAGTTTTCAGGAAATCAGGATAAACTTTCTGGAAAGTCATGTCTTGTTCAAGCTTTAAATATTCCAAGCTGGTATTTCAAGTTTAGGATGTTTTGCACACTTCACAAAAATAATGCCGTTTAGAATGAACAGTGAAGCTAATGACAATAGTATGTTCAGTTTATAAACGCGATATAATAGTGCATGGAAAATCTTAAAAAGTGGACAAAAGTTAAAAAAGATTTCTGGCATACAGAGAAATTAAAAAAACAGTTTTGAGAAAAGAACTGTTTAGGGGCTATTTAGCATACCTTTGAGTTGTACACATAAACATAAATACACATTATATGAAGTATTGTATTTAACATTAAAATAAGATGGAATAGTACAAACAAAATCTGGATTTTATTATAAAAAAGAACATATTCAATAAAACAACAAATCTATTTTTTTATTTCCTACCTCTCTTCCGCCTCCCCCAAAGATTTTTCGTAGGAAAAAAAAAGATTTACAAAGTAATTCTGTACCCTCATGGAATCAGAAATGAAGAAATATGCAGAAAAACACATTATAGCATAACAAAGGGCAAGCCACTTTGCTATTAATCAAGAACATTGTCTCTGGTTATATAAAAGAATTATATAAGCTTGGTATGGTAAGAAAGAACACAGCACATGAAAGTTCTTGTGAAACCATGGTGGCTGACACTTATAAAATATAGCCTCTAGAGGGCAGCAGGCGACCAGCTGGTTTCAGATTACCTTAATTTCAGAACTTCAGATTTTTGCTCCAAGTATGTTAGTTTACTAAAAACCCTTTAAAGAATCTTTGTCATTAAGTATTAAAATTACACAATTCAATGAAATTCTTGCTCAGTTAGAAAATGGAAACTGAACTGAGACAAATTGACAGATATGAATATTTTTTCCTCTTTCCTTTCTTTAAAATTCATGGTATGAAAGAATCTACAAGGTAAATAAATATTTTGATTGACCATAACTAAAAACAATTAACAAACCCACAATTACAGGATCACTAGGCAATATTGAAACCTACCATAGTTAAATTATTTTTGAATTCGAATTCATTTTACCACGAGCAACTGTGGGACACTCTGATCATTGCAAGATTCACCTTGTACCTGCTTACAGTCAAAGACTTAAAACCACAAAACCAACAATTAAATCAGTGAGGACCTGGACTGAGGAGGCAAATTTAAAGCTACAGGCCTGCCTTGACTGCACTGATTGGAATGTTTTTGAAAGTACCTCTGCAGACTTAGATGAACTCATAGTTACTGTAACATCATATGTCAGCTTCTGTGAAGATCTATGTGTACCCACCAGGAACTTTCGAATATACAATAACAACAAACCTTGGTTCACAGTTAAACTTAAGCAGCTATGTTATTCCAAAGAGGAAGCCTACAAAAAAGGTGATAAAATGCTGTACAAGGCCAGAAATGTATTAACAAGGGATATCAGAGCAGCAAAAAGAAGCTACTCTGAAAAGCTAAAGAATCAGTTCTCAACAAATGAACCAGCAAACATTTATTTTTATTTATTTATTTTTATTTTACTGCAATTTATATGTCGCCCTTCTCCCGAACGACTCAGGGCGGCTTACAAGATAAAAATTCAACAATATGAATTAAATATAAATTAATTAATTAATTAATTAATTAAATTAACATATGGAAAACTCTTAAAAATATCACCAGTTACAGCAAATCTCCTTCCCAGGCTGAAGGAAATCAACAACTGGCAGATGACCTGAACGTGTTTTACTGCAGGTTTGAAAGGAAACTACAGCCACCTATTTCCACAACCCCCATCTCAGACACAACAACAACAGCCAAACTTCCTACAACTGACCCCATCCTATTGGGTTCCCAACCCCTGGTGATCACAGAAAAGGAAGTACAAGCCCTATTTCACAGACAAAAGCCAGGAAAAGCTCCAGGCCCAGACAAGATGGTGCTTGCTTAAAAGTCTATGCTGACCAATTGGCCCCCATCTTCACCCATATCTTCAATAAATCAGTAGAGATGTGCTATGTTCTTTCTTGCTTCAAACGCTCCACTATCATCCCAGTACCTTGATGGAAGAAGCCATCCATCAAGGAACTGAATGACTACAGACCGGTTGCTCTAACATCTGTAGTTATGAAAACCTTTGAAAGGCTAGTGATGTCCCACCTAAAAACCATCAAGGATCCGCTGTTAGACCTTCTGCAATTTGCATACCAAGCAAATAGATCAGTGATTCCCAAAGTGAGCGGTACTGCCCCCTGGGGGGCGGTGGGATGACGTAGGGGAGGGCGCTAAGTGGCAAGGGGGCGGCAGAGGGGCTCTAAGAGGCAAGGGGGGTGACAGAGAAGTGCTGGAGGTGGACTCACGCGGCGTTGGCCATTCCTCTTCCGGGTTCACAACCCGAAGCTCAGATCATCAGACTAGCTGGCCAGTGTGCATGCATGCACCAGAAATTGAAAGTTTGTTTCCTGTGCACGCATGCCCACTGGGCAGCTCCTCTTACCACATGTTCCTTCTTGCTTCAAACAGTCTACTATCATCCCAATGCAGAAGAAGCCCACCATCAAGGAACTGAATGATTACAGTCCAGTTGCTCTAACATCTGTAGTTATGAAAATCTTTGAAAGGCTAGTGCTGTCCCACTTGAAAACCATCACGGATTCGCTGTTAGACCCCTGCA